TGAGTGGTACAAGCGAGGGAGGGCAAGGATGTGTTGGTGCTTGACAAGCTGCTAATTGGCCACGTGATTAGAAGTGCTCGCTGGGTAAGGAGTCAGACCCAGGACAACACTTCTGAGCCTGCTGCTAAATAAAATGGACTTGCTCACAATACCTGAAACTGAAAAATCCAGGGTTGAGTTTCAGCAAACATTTATCTAGTGCCCCCTAATGGCAATGTCCAGTGCTAAAGGCTGAAGGAGGGAAATAAAAAATAATATTAAAATCTTCCCTTAAATGAGCATAGAACCTCGTGACAAGGTGTAACATGGCACACAGAAACACAAAGCCAAGTTTTAAATATGTGTTGCTTAAAGGGGAGTACATGAAAGAATGTCACAGAGAAAGGATCATCTAGTGTTTAATAAATGCCTTGGGCTGGGGGAACACTTGTTGGCTTTGACGTGGGCTGAACTTGAAAGAGGTGCTGTGCCAGGCACCTGTCTGTGTTCTCTCAAGTCCACTCCCGACTGCTCCCTGCTCTGCTTTGTATTTCAGGAAACTGTTGCCCAGGCTCCACTGCCTCCAGCTGGTGGTGGGGGTGCTCAGTGGGAAGCATCTGCTGGAGGTGGGAGGACCCTAGCCAGGGAAAGGTGTGTCCCCTCTTTGTCTCCTTGGCTGGGGCAGCATTGCTGGCCATGTCTGTGTGTCCTCCATGTCTCCTTGGTGGCTGCAAGAACTGCCAGACACATCCTCAGGGACTTCAGCTTCAACCTGGTCATCCTGGGTCCTGGGCTCTGAGAATCCCTGTGTCCTCTCAGCCCAGGGAAGGTAGAGGCTTCCTATTGATACTAAACTTGGGGTCACCTCCATCTTCCTCTGTTTGGCATCTTGGCTCCTCAGTTACTCATGCAAGAAATTCCCTGTGTTACATCCCCTCTGTTTGAGATCTCTAGTGAGGACCTGGCTCAACCACCTGGACCCTCAGTGACACAGGAGACAACTGCTCCTGAAGGGGAACAGCAGCATACGCTCTGGTCTGGAAAAGAATGAATGTTCAGAAGGCAGATTTAGCCTGTGAGAAAGGAAAAGGTAAAGGCCACGGGAAGACACCAGGAATTCTCCTGCATGCTGAGTCTTGTGGGTCTTTGGGAAGGTGAAGGAGGGGTCTGTGTCTGCACATATATTTTGATCAAATATAAGGGCAAAGCATTGTGCAAGGAGCGATGTCTCTTACATAGGAAAGCCACACGGCTGGAATGATAGGGATCCAGGCCACGTGTGGACTCATGCCACACCCCCCACAGGATACTAAAGCTCATCCCCACAGGATACTAAAGCTGGAATGACTCATCCCTACAGGATACTAAAGCTGGGAGGTGCCTTGGTCCTTCAAACTATATGCTTTGTATGCTAAAGCACTTTGCTCAAGTTCACACAGTTGGCACAGCCAGAAAGAGAACTCCACTCTCTTCATTTCAGGTTCAAAGACAATTTTATACTATCATTGGAGCCCTTACCACTCCCCAAGTTCATGTCATGCAGGTCTGGTCCTTCGGTAACTCCAAGATTATGAACAAATTTGAGTGGGTTTGTTCCATAATAATCACTTCTAATTTTGATAATGACCATATTACCTATTTCAAAGTGAAGAGTTTGGAGTGATTTTTTAAATGGAATACAGCAACAAATATTATATAGTCAACTGAACTGTAGAAAGAACTCAGGTGGTATATTCTACTTTGTTGGTCAAAACAAAACAAAACAATAACATAAAATGTCCCTTTGAGCCTGTGGTGTTTACTATATTCTCATACAATAAACCTTTACAAAATCCTACAGATGTATCACTTCTGTATCAAGACTGAATGCTAAGGTTTGGGATAAAATAAACACCTTGAAGCCAAGACTTTAGAGACATTATCTGTTTAATAAATATGATTGTAAAAGCAATAAACAAGAGCAATTATACATTACACTACATAGTATTTAACAAAAAAATACATCAAAAAAGTCATTTGAAAATTAGAAGTAGTTCCGATACTATAAGAAAACTTTTTTTTTTTTTTTTAAATTGGCTTCCTATAAAAATAAGTTGGCAAATGAGGGATTTCAATGCTCAGTTGGAATCCTGGAAAACACAGAACAGCTGCCAAGCACCTCATTGCTCTCAAAGTTGCTGTTTGGAACTTCTGAAAAAAAGCAAAGCAAACCTCTGCATTTTGGAAAGTGAACCCAATTAGGAATAAGGCAAAGGAGAAAATGTAGGTTGGGTAGTTCTAGGTAGAACATGCACAGTTTGCCTTCTGGGATTTTAGAAAACATTGCAGTATCAGGTGTTTATCTTGCTCTGAATCTTACTCTCGACTTCTATCCCTCCCACCCGCACTTATGGCCTCAAGCCCACCCAACTCTGCCTCATGTTTGCACCTGCTGTTCGTGAGTAGGTAGGCACTTGGGTCCCTCCCATCTGTAGGCTGCTAGTACTAACTTCTCTTCGGGACTAAACTGAAATGGCCTAGTGCAATGGGTCTCAAACTTTAGTATACATCACAATCACCTGAGGGGCTTGTAAAACCAGATGGCTGGGCTCCATCCCTGGAGTTTCTGACTCAGTAGATATGGGGTGGAGACCCAAAATGAGCATTTCTAACAAGTCCAAGGTGATGGTACTACTGCTGGTCCAGGTACCACACTTTGTGAAACATGGAGTTAGATCATAAAAATGAGGTCCCCACTGGGAAGTGCCTTGCCTCCTGAATCTCCTACAGGTGAGAGGAAGCTTGGAGAAGAGGCACATGAGAACTCTGGAGACGTTGAATCTAGACCTAGCCATCTCTGGTCACTTTCCAAAATGCCTGGCATCTCGTGTTCCCCTCTATTGGTAGTTAGGCCTCATGAGCCTCTTCCCTATTTCTTCACATATAGCCATTCATTTATTCCTTTAACAAATGATTTTCTTTATTTTACTCAAGGCAAGGCACTGTGCTAGATTTGAGTGCTATTCCCTTTTTTGTGACTTTCCAATTACAATGTTTTGAACTGCAACTCTGAGGACTTTCCTGTGCTGTTTCAAGTGAGCCTCTTTTGGTTTCCAAACAGTTTGTCTTCCAGATTAAATTTGGGAGGCTCCAACTGAAGAGGATCAATGAGGATGTTTCCTATGGGATAGGAAGCCTGGCAGGTCGGGGATCAATTGAGTTCTACAAATAGATGGCCACCTCAGGCATAAATCCCTTCCCAGATTCAATCATAACATCTTCGGCCTGGCTAATGTCAGCCTTGCTAGTCTTCCTCTGCCTGGGCTACACAAGGGCAGGGATCGTCAGGATCTTTAGGACACCCAGGGTCCTGTTCTATCGCCAGGGCACTCTCGTACCATGTTGTTGGCTGGGGGACATGGCCAAGCAGGAGACCGTGCTCTCTGAGTGATTTTTCAAAACCGTTTTCTCTTATATTTTAGAGTGGGCTTTGCCCAATCCGGAATACTCCAAGGGTTTTTCCTGCACATACTTTTGTTACCTTCTTTCTCTGGGCCTTCTTTCCTGATTGCCCTGGGAAAACAGGAATTTTCTTCATGTTTTGAGCCAATCCACTTTAGTTAGTGAGCTAACTCCTCCCCTTTATGCTATTGACTTTTGTCTTTGCTGATACCACAATACTCAGAGATCAGAGAGCACGTATGTGAGGTGTCTGGGATGATCCTGTATCATCAAAACCTCATCCTAATGTAAGACAAGACCTCTGTCTAGTTTTAGACTTTTTGACACTCTTGAACATTAAATCCATTAACCTGCTTCTTCTTCGGGTTAAAACAGTTTTATTTCACAAATATTCTTCCTCTACTGTGAGAGAGGAAATACTGAGTACAGCAACCACCACAGAAGGAAATTGCCCTGCCATACAGTAACATGTTCGAAACATTTCTCACAGGAATCTTCTAAGATCTGCCTGCATGACATGTTTGTGAAGGCGTGAGGATACCACCATTCATCTGAATGCTTTCTTTTCCAAAGTACATGGCTGGGTTTGAATTGCTTTGCGTACAAACCAACTCTTTCACACATATGATATGTTTCCAGGAGGGAGAGGACAAGGATGTTTGGAAGAGGCAGGTTCTATAGGAGGAGACAGAGGGTACATGGTCAATGACTACAGAAGCTGGCATGCTTGGGAGTGTACAAAACCGAGAGAGACCAGAAACTTGCAGGTGGTGGAGGCAGGGTTGGCAGAAGCTAGGCCAGTATTTAGGGAACATCAGGGTTAATGTCCAGAATCTAGCAATGTGTTTAGGAAGAAAAGGAAAGTGCAGATGAGGGGTAACTTGGGGACTGGAAGGAAGAGATACAAGGACATCAATAGATCATGACCACAAATGGAGAGCAAACAAATGGGAAGGCCAGTTAATGGGTAACTGGGATTCTGTTTTCCATATAAATTGGGGTAAGAGTAGAGAAAACTGAAAAGAAAGCAGTCATGACTGGAACGCGTGAACGGAAAACACAGGTCCACTTCTGACATGCTTGCCCCTGCCTTCCTTCCTTCCTTTCTCTGCCTGCATGTATGGAACTTCAACTCCTGTCTTTATCCCTGTGTCCACACTGAATGCAAAAAGTGGCCCTGGGGCCAACAGAGCCACCAGGGAAATGGCAATAAGGAAGATGAAACAGAGAAATAGCTCAGGGTTTCAAACTCCTGTGCATGTCTTTGTGTCTTGGGAAAGGGGCTGCGGTGGCTATCTCACCCATCAGCCAGTAGAGCTAAAATTGCTGTTAAATCTAGAGCCAAGAATATTTCCAAAAATACATGCAGATTTCCTTGGCCTATATATGTTAGGAAGTTTCTACAAACACGATCGATAAGAAAAAGAGAGAGAAGGTCGGGGGAGGGGAGTATTTTCCATTAAAATAGAGCACCTGCACACTGCCCCTCAGAGCATGTTCTTAAGGTACAGTCCACATGCACAGGCTTAAAGCTAAAAACCCTTGTTGTCTGTGTCAGAAGAATTAAAAAGTCCCGATGCAGTGCGTGTTTGTTTGTTTGTTTGAATTTTGATTGTTTTTATTTTGTTTTGTTTGTTTTTGTTTTTACTGGCGTCCTCCATTCAAACATTTACATAGGTAGGGATTTCTTTTGTGCTTTGATTCTCAGCAACTATGGAAATACTTCCTGGCAAAATAGGAAACAGAACAACAAAGGAAAGAAAGAAAACAAAAGTTAGTGGTCATGAAGGATGATGCACTTGACAAGAGCGAAATTCTTTCCTGATCAGCTGGTCGCCTGCAGCCTTTGGGGGTTTTCCTTAAATTGCAAATTGTGCCCCAGCAGATCCCCGCTTTGGCGTTGAAGGTGGAGTGGCTTGTCTTGCTCTTTGCAATCGGAGAGTTGAGTCACCAGGTTGAGTAGAAGGGGAGGGAGGGGAGGGTAAAGCTACTCTCCTAAGAGAAAACGTGTAACACTTACTCATTTAATGACACTGGAAATGGAAAAGTGTCAGAGACTTTGCAATGTGCTGCGAGACATTCCTGGCGAAGGAGGCTTGGCTACTTTGATAAAGTCAACAGCGCCTGTGCTTCATACCCAGTGGAAATGGGATTGAAAACCAAATGACCCACAGAAATGCACTTAGAAGCTTTAGCAGTGAGTCGACAGGGTGACCGCTTCCCTGGACTTGAAGACAGAAAAGGCTTTTTCTTTTAAACCCAAAGCAATTACGCATTTACCGCCCTGTCTCCCCAAATAAAAGAAAGCGCGCTGTGAAAATTGGACACCACATGTGGCTGCAGTGGTTATTATTACCTCCTATATAAGCCGGTCATTGCATTTAAATTTCCCCTAATACAGCCAGGGAACTTTCCCCTAGCCATTTAAAGAGAGGGTTATGTTTTCATTTAGGTACTCATTTTTGTCCCTCTCAAGTAACAATCTTATAAGGGCCTTCTAGGTGGTCTGGCATTATCACATTAGAGTGAAGCATGAATGGTTATACAGTAATTTATCCATCGTAGTCAGCAATGCAGGGTCTAGATGGGAACAGTTACAGCTTCACCTCCTGTTGCCAACAGACAGGAGGAAACAAGAAGAGAAATGGATCACAATTGTGGCTTCATGCGTTTGTCTAACTTCTTGGAAAATTTTCTCTGCAATAAATAATAGGACTCAGCAGTCACACTTGAGACCCTCTCTTCCTAGCTGTTGGGTTAGCATGCTGATTTCCCAGGCAAGGTGAGTTCTACTGATACAGGTGAAGTCTATTTTAACACTCCTGGTAGGCGCCAGGTAAAAAAAAGGGAAGAAGTATGCCAATCTGCTCTATAACCGTCTGACCCTCCAGTGGTCTCCCACAGGAAACCCCACTCTTGGGATGTTCCACAAACTTTTTGCCTCATGTCCTTAAAATTCTCAGGTTCTGGGGCTCATTTTTTAGATTACAGCTAGATTAAAACTAAAAAAATCCCAGGGTGACCAGGCTGCCACTCTGCCCCCCACCCCCGCACTAGCCTCATTACGTCGTTACGTCACTCCTCTTCAAGTGTACCCAAGCTGTGTGCCCTCCTGGAAGCTGTCTCAAGGTGAGGCTGCCATGTCTTGTTCTGCCTGTTTCATGCCCTATCCCTCCAACCCTGCCTGGCCCTCCGGACCACCAGATCCAGCCTCTGAGGCCTGCCCTTCTTCAATATCGTCAGAGCAAATGTTCTGCTCTTTACCCAAGAACACACAACATTTTAGCAAGGATTTTTGCAAAAAGAGGAAGAAAGTCATGAGAGAGAGAAAGGAAAAAAAAACAAAAAACAAAAACAACAACAAAAAAACTAGACAGGAGCAAGAAGGCTTTTTTCCTCATTCCAAAGGGAAGAAGCAGGGAAAGAGACATCTTAGCTGTTTCTCTCAGGGATGTTAGAGCAGAAAACAGTGGTTATGTCAAGCCAGAAAGGGGTTAGAGACAGTTTCAGCCATTGGTTATTCAGGCTGAACAGCTGACAGCTACTGGGAATCATTTACCTATGAGCTGGGATTCCACCTTCTCATCTATCAGCTGGCCAGGCCTCCTTAGTTCAGTCTGAGAGAAATGGGGCCTGCTTTCAGTGGGACTGACTCGACTGACCATCTCTCGTTCTTTCTCATTTTGCATCTGGGCATAAACATTAATCCCCGGGATCTTCCTAAAACATCAACAGAAACCATCACTGCTATGCGCAGGACGCGTACATCACAGGCTCCCGGACCTGTCACGAAGAAGGAAGAAGGCGGGGAAACATGGACGGAGAAACACGTACCTTTTAAACTTGTAGATGACGAACACGGCCAGGCCCACAAACACCACGGAGAGGAGCATCAGCATGGCAGACCCACTGTGGGTCGGAGTGAGGTCCACCAATGGGGCTGCGGAAGAAAGCAAGGCGTGGTCATGAGCAGAGACGTGAGTGGGTGGGACTCCGCGAGAGGCTCACGCAGTTCACCCAGAGACAGGGTGAGTCCCAGAAAACCGCCTGGGGCTTAGGCCTAAGATGCAGGTCACACAGCTGCCAGGCGGGTGCATCTGAGCCTGTCCCAGCCCCCAGAATTCTCCAGCTGGCCTGTCTAAGAAGGACAGTGTAGCCAGATTACTTGGATCCAAGGCTGGCTCCACTACGGGCTAGGTGTGTGATGCTGGGCAAATTAATTTCAGCTTAATGTGCCTCATGGGCTGCAATGAGAATAACAGTACATACCTCATCAGCTTTTTGTCACAATAAAATGAGTTCATGCATGCACAGCACTGATAACAGTGCTAGGCACATATAAAGGCTTCTTCAAATAGTAGCTTTCATTGCTACTGCTGCTGCTATCTTCCTAATCAATATTTATAATAATATAATTAGTACATTTTTCTATACCCTGAATGCAAGCTTTTCCTACTAAGCAATGCAGATAATCGGAAAAATACCAAAGGAATATATTTATGAATTACCTATTTTATCTCAATCCTATCCCAGCTGTTGTCATGTGAAAGAACTGAAAAGTCGTAGTAGCATGTTAATGTTTTTTTACACATGGAAAAGTGATGGCCTAGTGAGTATTTCACAAGGGCTGGAGGAGGGTTGTGCAATTAGGTGTTGTTGCTACAACCTTCCAAAACCCCAACAGCTCATGCCAGGAAGCACCAGCCACTCAAATGAGCTGAGTTCACTTCTTGGACAATACCAATGTCTTTACGTCCATAAAAGAGTCTCCCTCCCTGAATTTGCCCTTAGATTGCAGCTCCAGGGAACACTTCTCCCCACCTCCAAACCTCTTCCATCTCAGGGTCAAACCTGTTGTACTTTAAAACTTTGTTTGCAATTAATTTTTGCTCTCTTGAAAACTGACATTTTACAAAAACAGCATAGCTCAAGCATAAAAGGCAGGCAACATGCACCCCTTAGAATCCTGAATGCTGACCTTTTAACTTCCATCAATTTAAGCAAAGCCTGAGACTCAGAAATGTGGGTGACCTTTAAGCACCATTTTTTGTGGCTTTTCTCTGCTGCGAGCCAAAAGTGCAACGTTCTGGTCACCCAGGAACAAAAGTTCAAGAACAGATGACTGTAATATTGATGGTCTCAGACAAGACTCGAGGCTGCTTCTGGTCTGTGTGGTTATTGTAGGATAACAGCCCAGCCTCTCAATAACCACTATTTACTGAGATGTATATTCCATATCCCAAATCATTTTGGTGGAAAACAAAGTCAAACCCTCTCTCCGAAAACACTTGTTTTCAACTGTCGTTTTAGTAGAATCAGCTTTAGGAAGCACTAGATGAAGCACCAGGCTCCATGATTCTCCCTCCTCTCTAAGCCAAGGAGCGTTTCAGCTCTGAAGTGTGAGTGTGCAGGTCTGTGTGTGAGAACACATGGTAGAACACCCAAGGCACATGCGCTTTTAACTCAAAATCAGAAAGTAGCGGTCTTCTTTCATTTAGTTAGTCAGGCACAATGCCGTCGGCAAAGGAGTCCAGAGACACTTCAGAATTCACACCATAACTGGCAGGATGTCATCAGGGAAGGAAACACCTCCATTTGTCATAGATACTATCGTCACTCTCACAAATGGAAGACAGGGTCTGTGGTCTCCATTTAACAGACAAGAACAATGAGATTCTCATAGGTTAATGTTCCGCAGGACTCAGGACTAGTTAAGTGGAAGAACTAAGACTTGAACCCAAGTATCTTTCTCTCTCTCTCTCTCTCTCTCTCACACACACACACACACACACACACACACACACACACTTTGTACACAGGGTCTGACCAGAAAAAGTCCAGCCATCATTAATGTAACAAGAGAGGTTTGTGTGACATTGATGTAACCTGGCAGCTAAGAAAAGTAGACTGGAATGTGCATGTATGAACAATGATGACTTCATTGTACTAGTCAGTGGGGACGGTACATGCTGTTGAGTGACCATGTGTACTGTGTGGTCGTTGCATTCAAAATGACTGAACAAATAAAGCAAAGAATCTGCATCGAATTTTACATTAAGCTTGAACATTCCTCTACAGAAATCATTCAGATAATTCAGAAGGCTTTCAGTGACAATGCAATGAGTGCAGTGCAAATAAAAGTGTGGCACAAAGATGGCTGAGAATCTGTTGAAAGTGATCCATATTCTGGAGGGCCTGCAACAACAAGAACACCTGAGAATCTTCAACCTGTACAGGCTGCTAACAACAAAGATAGGCGACTGACAGTGCAAGAACTAGAAGCTAATCTGGGGATTCCAAAAACTACTGTGCCTGAGATTTTGATGCAGGATCTTGGTATTAAATGTATCATGGAAAAATTTGCTCCTCAGCTTCTGCTACCAGAGCAGAAGGAACATTGTGCTGCAGTTGCTAATGACTTGATTCAAGCTGACACCAATGAATCAGATTTCCTCAAGAAGGTCATAACCAGAGATGAATTGTGGATCTATGGCTATGAACAGGAAATGAAGGACCAGTCGTCCCAACAGAAGTCACTTTGTTCTCCACACCCAAAGAAGGCATGGCAAAGTCACAGCAAGATCGAGACCATGTTAACTGTGCTTTTTCATTGGGAAGGTGTTGTCTGTCACGAGTACACCTCTCCAGGCCAAACAGTTAATAAGGAGTATTACCTCAATGTTCTTCGTCAGTTGAGAGTTGCAATATGATGAAAACGGCTGCAGCTATGGGCCACTGGTGACTGGCAGCTTCATCACTACAATGTGTCCCCTTATGCATCACATCTTATGCAGAATTTTTTTGTGAAACATCAAATTACCGAGGTGACTCAGCCCCCTATGGCCCAGATTTGGTGCCCTGCGACTTCTGGCTTTTTCCAAAACTAAAATCACCTTTGAAAGGGAAAAAATTTCAGACTATCAATGAGATTCAGGAGAATATGACAGGGCAGCTGACGGTGATTGGGAGAACTGTGTGAGGTCTCAAGCTTCCTACTTTTTAGGGTACTGAGGCATCATTGTCCTATGTACAAGGTTTCTTGTATCTTGTATCTTCTTCAATAAAGGTCTCTTTCTCTTATTACATGGCTGGATACCTTCTGGACAGACCTTGCCAACCCTGGGCTCATTTCAGTGAGGGACAGCAGAAATTTTAAAAGATATTTCTGAGAATGGGAATTAAGACAAAACTATAGCACAAGAAGCAATTTAACAAGTGATATTAGTTAAAATACTAAGTTTTAAAATCATTGGTCACATGCTTTTAAACTTGGATGCTATGTATACATTATAAATATCAGTATATACGTGTATATATGCGTGGTGTGTATGCATAGAGAAATGAAGCCTCATGTACAAACCGCCCAGCTTCCACAACCAGTAAGCCACAGACAATAGTATTGCTTTATTTCTACTCCCATCCAGTCCCCACAACCCCAGTCACTGGATTATTTTAAGGCAAACCTCAGGTTATCTTTTTTTATGAACATGCATTCATAAAAGATAAGGTTGCTTGCTTTATCCACATTATCCCAACACCATCTTAATTCTTAAGGAAATGATAATAGGAAGCTATTTTAAAAATAATCTTCTAATGCACACCCTTAACTTGACTAGGAACAAATGGAGCCCCAGAGAGGTGCCAAAGACGGTTAGAATGGTTAGAAGCAGCTTAACTTTATTTACTAAACTTCTAACTCCCAACTGAATGTCCTTTTAGAATAAGCAAAATATCAGTGTAATGGAGCAACCAGGAAGAATTTTAAGTCTGTTTGAAATGTTGGCATTTGACATAAATGGAAAACTGAAGAGAGGAAATTGCTTTGGCCAGGCTCTCGCTAAAACAAAGCGAATGCTTGCGTGCACACGCGTGCACACACACAAATGGACTCTCTTCCTTTCCTCCTCTTCTCTCTCTCCTCATCACGAGGTAAAATCTCTCAATTCAGAACCATTCCCATCCAAATCCTCATTCCTAAAGAGCGGCATTAACACTGCTTCGTTATTAGCATTACCACGGTGTTTTGGGAAAACGGGCTCCTGCGTCCCGAGTTCTAAACCCTGCGCTCTCCGGGTGTCCTCCCCATCTCCGCGTTGCTCCCGCACTCCTCGGAGGCAGGCCCGAGGGCCGGCAGGAGGCAGCAGGCAGCGGCAGGGAGAGGCGAACACCATAGCCCTCTGTGTTCTGCGGGTGGCTTCTGCCTGCTGATCTGCCCCTGAATATAAACAGGCCATTATTGCTCCACACAACAGCAGCTGCATGTCTTCGTTTGCCCAACACTTAGGTGCATTTGTGTGTTTTGCTGAGGAATGGAAACTTGTGATAAATGGGCTTTACCTTGTTGTGTGGAATTAGCATAACTTAATCCCTCTCCAACTGCAGCATAAACAAGGTAGAAATGGGGGGGGGGGGCGGGGGGCTATATGGGGAAAGTGCTGAGCAAATATTTGCCATTATTCATGCACAGAGCAAAGCATGGGCCGGGATAGTACGGCAAGTCACGCGACATTTCCCAGGCTGGGTGCTGGCACACACAGTTCTAAAATCCTCTGAGAAACTTGGAAAGGCATCGAATTCTTACATTCTATGCATGAGCACCTAGGTTGATGACAATGATAGCCATGCTTACAGTATTAACAAGAGTCTTCTTATGAAAGGTGAATTGATATATAGTGAATGCTAAATACACGGTCACAGATTGCGTGAGAACAAAGTCAAAACTTCATGTTCAGGGTGAAGTACTTGAAAGAGTCCCTTTTTTGGAATCAGATTCTGACTCTGCCACTTCTGGGCTAAGTGGCTTAAAATGAATCTCAGTTTCCTTATCTGCATAATGAAGGTTAACTCGTGTTTATTTTAGAAAGTTGTAAGAACAAAATAAGATGGAATTTTTAAAGCCCTGGCATAGTGTCTGGTACATACCCAATATTTTTAATATTA